GAGACAGAGAGAAAGAGAGAGAGAGAGAGAGAGAGAGAGAGAGAGAGAGAGAGAGTGTGTGTGTGTGTGGTGTTCTACAGTTCTCTTTATAAAAATGTAACCATTAGGGCTCATGCCTGTTAATTAAAACAACCATTGTTTTCATTCTAGTTAACCTATGTGAGGAATATAATCTACTGAAATGGACTGCAACAGTACTTCTCAATCCAGAAAACTTAAAAAAAATTAGTTCTGAACTTAAAACTATATTTAAATATATATATATTTAAAACTATATATATAAGTACAATTTAGGTCTTAACCTAAACAACAAGCAAATAAAAAACTAATGGAAATAATCTTTAAGCTATAAAACTCAGCATCCAAACATATCAAAAGCACTGAAGAGTAAGGAATTGAATTACAATTTTAAAGACTGCTATTATATGTTACTTCACTGTAAGTTATGAAATATATGACTCAAGTTTTACTTCTTAAATCCACCATATGGTTCAATTCAGTTTTTTTAATAAGCATGACTATTAAAGCTTTCAATGCATTCTAATAGGTCAGTAAGTGATAACTTTCTATTTTAACTTACAAAACTAATAAAGTTTTGCCTCTTTAGTGATGACTAGACTTGACAAATACTTATTTTTGAGACAGAACTTAATTACTTGTTTCTGCCTATCAAGTAATGGCCACTGGATAACTTTATCCCCCAAATCACCAAAGTCCTTAGCCCTTTGATTGTTACTCTGTCAGGAAGTTTTTGGTTTTCATGTCTGCTTTAATTCAGATAATTATTTCATAGAAAAGTAATGCGGCTCTAGTACAGAAATATCCAATAGAAATATATGAGCCATTATAATGTGAATAATTTAAAATTTTCTGATAGTTACGTTAAAAAGGGGAAAGAGAAAATAGGTGAAATTAATTTTAGTACTATATTTTATTTAACCCAATTTATCCAAAATATCATTGCAACATGTAATAAATATAAAAAATTACTGAAATATATAAAAAAATTTGTATTAAGTCTTTGAAATCTGGTATATATTTTACACTATAGCCCATCTCAATTCACACTGGCCACATTTCAAGTCCTCAACTGCCATACATATCATGTGACTATTGGCTAGCATTGGACAATGCAACTGTAGAATACTTAGGATTATAAAGTAATATTCAAAACAAACTTTTATTAAGAATTTGAAGTTAAAGTCACACTAGTACTTAAGACGGCTTTCATAAAATCAGAAAACCCTGTTCATAAAGATGTAACTTACAATATTCATAAGACAGGGTGCAAAACACCAATTTATTTTCAATTTTCAGCTCGCTTAATTTTACCACATGCTTCCCTTTGCCATCACTAGAAAGTGAAACTTCAAATCGGTCCAACCAAAACGATAAGCAAATACTTATTATGACTTTGTTATAAGTTTATTTGGCATTCTTAGCTGTTGCATACAATGAACAAGTTCTATTTTTGAATATAAAATAATAAGTATAAAGAAAAATGCTTTGCCAAAAGAATTTTTGTTGCCTTTCTAAAACTGGAAGACAGCAAATTACAAAAACAGAGAGCGAATTAATGAAAACATCTGAACAAAGGACATAAGTCTTCTTACATGTCAGGTTAACACAACAGTAATAACAGATCAGGAATAACTCAAAGTATCCACTAATGAACATGACTGCAATTAAATCCTCAAAGAATAAGAGCCTGTTTGAAGTATAACATCTGCTTTTTCTAAATGTGACAGGAATATATGTTTAACATTTTGTCTTTCTAGCAATTTTCCAAACTAAAATTTGGAAAACATGAATCTCAAATCAACAAAAATGGCAATATTGAAAAATAGTCTTTAACAGGATGTAATGGCCTCTATTTCAAGAACTGAATGTGGAAGTAAACAATATAAGAAAGGCATGTGAGGTTAGGACAGTGGTTTAACTTTTTAGACAGATAAAAGAAGGTAAAAACAAGAGAATCCAAGAACTATTCTTAATGTTTCAAAAAGCCTTAACCAAGTTTGTATATTTAACCATAAAAAGGCTGCACTGGCTTACTTAAAACATTTACTTCTTTGTTTTCGGGTGAAAATCACTTTGGTGTAGCAACATTGCCTTTCTCGGGTTAATCAAAAGTTCCTACTGGAACTTAAAAGTTTGACTAATAGAAATATTGAAAAAAAGATTACTTAAGCACTTTATTTGGGATATAAGTTTAATTACAGTGGGTGAGGGGAGAATATAATTAAAAAGAAGGGATCTAGGTAAGGAGAGAGTAGAAAATAAAAAAGAAAGGAACCCAGGTGGTTATGAAAATATAAAACGGGTTGGGAATCACTGGATTAGATGTACTTTATGTCAGTGATTGCTTGAGACTATTTTGGTATGAAGGTTCTATCTGCTGGTATCTTAAATTCTTCCTCTGCGATTTTATGGATGGAAATGACAGCTTACCCTCATCTTTTCCCTTCCTTAAATCTAAGGACAGAGAAAAGTAGAGCTGCTTCTCTGAGAAACAAAGATGCTTCCTACCATTCTTCTAAGATGGTGGAAGAGTCTCCTCAAGAGGCTTCCCCAAGAAGGAAAAATGAAAGAGGGAAAGAAGAAAGCCACAGCAGAATTCTCTGGCCGTGTCTCATGCCATTGCTCCTAATCACATCCCCGGCGCAACCCCTCTGGTCCGGCCATCTCCCTCCAGGGAGGTTAAGCCCTCCCAGGGCATTGTTTGGCCGGGCTCCCCCTTAACCCTCAGATCGCCTCCACCATCCCAGCGCTAGGGTCTCGGGAAGCCCCAGGGCAGAAAGCCGAAAAGCTAGGGGAGGACTTGGACCCCCCTCTTACTAACTGGTGCAGGAAAGAAAGGAAATCCTGGCCTTTGCTCGGGTGGGCTTCTTAGGGGGTCAGAGGCGTCCCGTCGGCCAGTATCGAAGGAAGGTGGCCATTTGAGCTGGTCGCTCCGCATCGAAAAAGCCCTACCAGCGAGAGGGGCCTCATGAGGCCCGGGGTTCCCTCCTTGTGTCAGGTGCGGCCCACAGTTCCCAACCCTCGGGACACCGGCTGCAACAGCACCCAGGCCCCTGGGCTGAGACCGGTCTCCCGCCTGACCGCCGAGGACCGGACACCCGGGCTGAAGCCCCAGCCGCATCGTGCCCGCCCCCGCCCTACCTGAGGGGGCCCGGGCGGGGTCGCTAAGGGCCGCTCCCGGGAGCCCCGCGACGGCGCGGCTCGGCGACGGAGGCGCCTCGTCTCGCCGGGGCAGCGCTCGGCGGCGGTTTCACGACCTCAAACTCCATCGGGAGCTACAGAGACAGCCCCGCTGGCGGCGGCGAAGGCCGCGACGGGGCCTCCTCCTCCCTCCCCCTCCTCCTCCTCCTCACCACCACAGAGGCGGACCTGGAGGATCCCGACTTCACTCTCGCGAGAAGATACTCCCGACGTCACGCGAGATTACGCAGGCCCGGGAGTTGGGGAGGTGGAAGGGAGCGTAATAGGACCCCCCCTTTCCTCAAACTGCGCATTAGCTTCCCTACGGTCTAGCAGGTCCACCCCTACCACGTGACGAAGGCGCCCTAGAGCACTGTGGGAGGAGTTCTGAGAACTAGGCAAGACGAAGGGGTTGATGGGAAACTCCCTGCACATTCATCTGCGCGTTGAGCCATCCTCCTGGGCGCCGGTTTGAGCCAGTGTCTGACTCCCATCGTGAAGAGCGTGGTGTCCATCGAGCAGAATCTGGTACATCTGTTTTACGTTCTACTTCACTCTCCCATAATGAAATGCTGATCCGATCCCTCAGTCCCTCCACATAGGTGTCCCGTAATCTCCCAATTACAAAAGAGAAAAAACAAAGCATTTATTTAGCAGACACGTCCACATACTCTATTTCTTCATTGAAGAGAAAATTCTGAGCTCCTCAAAAGTTAGCAAGGATCAAAATTTAAGCACAAATTCTGGCATTGTATCTCAATATGTATTTGCTGAAGGATTTTTCACAGTACACTGTAAGGTAGAAATTATTCCCACTATTTTTATAGATGAAAGACTGGGAATGGGGATAAGGAAATTAACATTTATAAACTATTTACTACATTCCAGGTCCCGTGTTAAGTGACATTTAATTTTTAATATTTTGTTAGTTTTATTTCTATGTCAGTTACTTATCAAAGTAATCCTAAACGACAGATACTGTGTACCCTTTGTCATTGGTGAGATACTGAAAAACCTAGGTTAAAAAAAAATGGTCATGACTTAAACTCAAGGCACGTTCCAATGTGAAGCCAAATGTCCAACAACAACAAAAATGTGGAAGTAAACCTACCACAAATTAGAATATGGAAAAGTAGCTTATAAACTACTAATTTTAAAACGTGGTTCTTAATGCTTGGATGACAGAGAAAGATCAGTGCTTCTGGAAAAAGACTAATTGGCCCCATCAGAGACTTTTCCTCCATGCATTATTATCCCTTCCTTTCATTCGCATTATGAAATACATGCCAATTCAAGAAAAATGTTTCCAACAGTGGTTTGTTTCCAATAATTTCAACTGAACAGTGATGGGTGATTTAACATATATCTGTGTCATCCAACCTACTATATATTTTTTCCATTCTATTGGATATATATTAAATATATATATACACACATACATATGTACATATATATTTTGATTCCACTGGACAGTGCTACCTATCTGATAATCTGATAAAAATTTTCAAAGGTGGCCTGACCATCATATTTAAAATTACAATCCTATTCCCCCTTCCCTGGCACTCCCTATTCCTGCTTTATTTTTCTCCAAATACATCTTCAAAATCTTACACACATTCATTTTACTTATTTACTATTTGTCTTCCTCCACTAGAATGTTTCATAAGAACAGAGATTTTTGTCTATGTACCTAATTTTTTCTAGTTTCAAAGGACTCTTATTTGTTGAATGATTAAATGAATAGCCAGGAGAAATTGTGTCCTTCTTTAAAATTCACAGATGCAGGCAAGACACAAAACTCTCCATTCCCACCTCCAGTTTATTATTTTTTATGTAAACACAGAAGATAGTTACATCCAAGGAAAAGGGCAAGGGTTTTCTCTTACAGCAAAGTAACAAGTATCTTTTCAAGATCTTATACATAAATGCAGTAAATGAAGAGGCTGAAGTCAAACTATTTGCATTATTCTCTCATATCAGAAACATAAGCAACTTGAAAGTTTTAGGTGAATCGGTTCTACACCTTCCTTTGCCACACCTGCATTTTGAAAAACATTCCATTTTCCAGAAATTTTTTAGACACATCATGCAAACAGATACTCTCCTAGGAATGTTTTGAGACCACTCTGTGCTAGTGAACAGGAACAAATAACATAAATAACAACCATTAATTTCACAAAACACCCCTCCCCCAAGCAAAAATCTCAAAGTGCTCACAAAAAATTTTACAACAATCTTACAAGGCACACATAAAACTTAAACAGTTTCAACCAAAGACTTTTTCAAACATCCAAGATACTAGATACCAATTCCTAAAATATCAGTTTATTCCTATTCTTTTGTTCTCTCCTCCCCTCCCCATCCCTCCCTCTTCAAAATTTCATTCTAGGAAGCAAAAATAAGAAAAGTATTTCAATCACAAACTATTTCAGAAAGGGAAATATTTTCATGCCTAAAAATGGCCAATCTAAGGTCAAATGGGAAAGAAAATTGAGCACTAAGCTATCATATTCTCTAGTGGAAAAAAAACGCAATTTACTAGTACTCAAATGGCAACATTCATGAACATACAAAACTCTCCTCTCTTGTTTTCCCCTCTACTCTCTTCTCAGGAAGAGTTAAATATAAAATCATAGAATTTTAGACCTAGAAATGACCTTACAAGTTATCAACATCAAAGTTATTATTTTACATATGAAGTAAAGTTCAGGGAGAGGTGACCTGCCCAACATCACTAACTAGTGACCTGGGTTAGGAAGTCAATTTTCTCATCAAATATGAGACCTGGACTTTTTGAAGTCTCTCCCAGAGTTAAAATTCTATGAAGAATATCTTTCCCACAAAAAGTATCACAAAAGGATATTTAACATTTAGATCAACACGTGATTTTTTCACAAAACTTTTATAAATGGTACAAAGTATATCTCACTTTAAAATATGGAAGGGCTTCAATAAAAATTAAATTCAGTAGAAATTCTACATAAAGGTGAGGTAAGTAGAGGAGGAACAGAACAGCTTGAAAGTAAGAAACATCCAGTCTAGTTTCTTTATTAAAAGTAGTACCTGTGTTTTAGAGAAAAAGATTTGCCCTGCAATATATTTTAATCTTTGTTATAACAATAAAAAAGTTGTATATTATATGTAGACAGGGATATGAGAGAGCTATGGCCCAGAACACAGTCTGAAATATTATTGTCACTAAAATAATTATCCAATCATCATTTTGCTTTTGGCACTTTTCTGGAAATACAGAGTAAAACTCTAGGGATGGTTAAGATTTCTGTCAAAATATAGTGGAAGTAAACTGTAATAATGTAAATTTAAAATTTATAACAACACTAATAAATTTATAAAATTTATTACAACACTAATACTTACCCACGGGTATCCAGTGATGCTAGAACTAATATACATTGCCAATTCAAAATTTAAAAAGGGAATGAACTATTGATACTCACAACATGGATGAAACGTAACAGATATTACACTGGGTCAAAAAAAGCATAAGATTCCATTTATGTGACATTGCAGAAAAGGCAAAATTGTAGCGATGAATTTTGCCAGAGTTTAGAGCTAGAAGGGTTGATTACAAAGGGGCAGCATGAGGGAGTTTTGGGGGGTGATGGAACTGTTCTTTTTACTGATTGCAGTGCTGGTGCACAAATCTATAATCTGTTAAAATTCATAGAACTATACACCAGAAAGGCCAACCTTACTACATGTTAACCAAAAAATAGAATAAAATAAAGAACTTTAAAAAGGAAACAGTAGGACAAATATCTTTGGTAAAGTTGGAATTTCTAAGAAAAGTAATTTTCACAGCTTCATGACAATGGTATAATTTTACTGGTCACAAAATTATTGAAACCAACTGTATTAAATAAGCTCAAGAAACTTGAGCCCAATTAATCATTTCTAAAATATGTATACTAACAACTCAGGGATATAAGGAATATTAACCCATTACAAGGAAATTCTCCTACTCCCAAGTGAATCTGAATTGTGTTGCTTTATAGTTTAAAACAACAGGTACCTTGGTGTTTACTTTAGAATCCAAGAGCAGTTGGTTAAAAATTTAAAAGATAAATTGCTATTCCCATCTGTTCCTAAAGTGACTAGTAACAGATAATAGTTTTTAAATTTATTTTCTCTTCTTGTTATCCTAATTCATTGAAGTTATTATATAGTTAAATTTTACACTTAAACCAATTATCTAGAGATTCCAAATCAGAATCTGCAAATACTGCTGGATCCTGTCACTAAAATCAAGAATATTTAAGAAAGGAACAGTTTCTGTAAGTTTACCACTGAGACTTAAATGTAATGTACGAGACAAGACAGAATCCCATCAGCTTTATCATACCTCCCATAACCTTGAAGCATTCAGAAGTTGAGAAAGAAAAATATGTGTAAGCAGACCAAAAATAAGACCTAAAGATGGGGGGGGGGTTGGAATGCAATATTACAAATGCTGCATTTCTACAGAAACATTTGCCTAGTAGAATGATATAAGGTTTATAAAGCAAGTCTGTGATTCTAATTATAGGAGATTTTGTCTTTTGAGATCATGCCTAGGTAGTTTTTCCCCACTGCTTCTGCCATGGACAGAGGTTAAGTGCTTTTTGAGAGCAGATTTGTGCTTGAAATCCATATCACAACAGTGGCATTTGTATGGCCGATCCCCACTGTGTATGTTCAAGTGGTCCTGAAGTGTGCTTTTAGCAGTAAATGTTTTCAAGCACACTGTACACTGAAAGGGCCGTATGCCCATGTGCCCTCGAATGTGTCGGTTGAGATTTTTCTTCTGTGTAAATGTTTTCCCACATTGTAAACACAAGAACAGTTTATGCATCTTAAGGTGGCGCAGATAGTTTTCAACATGAAGAAAGCCTCGAGGACACCTAGGGCACTGGTGCCTCAGTGAATAACCCTCCTCCAGATTCTGAATCTCATTCACTGTACCATGACTTCCTTCAGTATTCTCACAAAATAAGCCCTGACCTTGACTCCCAGGAACTTCTGCTATTCTGCTCTCAACTGTAGAATTGATCAATGAATGCTGTGTTTCAGAGAAATACATGCTTGCTTTTGAAGAGGTACATGGCTGTGAAAACTGCCCATTTTCTACACCAGCTGTACTGATAGACTCTACACGTAGGATACAAATTTCATTGTCTTTAAAACCTATATCTACTGTAGATAGCTCTGGTGACGTCATTTCCTTTCTCTCTGATGCCAAGTTCTCTACTGTAGACTGTAAAGCATTACTTTGTTCTTCTTTAACGTGGAAATCTATGTTTACAGGACTATATTCTGAAATTTCAATTATCTCACAGTCTTTATCAGAATTTTCTTCTTCATTCTTAACATCTAGATCAGAGGATTGACATAGGTCAGTGTGCTGGTTGTTGTTTTTCATAGAAAGATCAATTTCCAGGTACTTTGACAAAGCTTCTGTGCACTTTTCCACAATGTGAACCATCTGAAGGTAACTGGCAGCAGTCAAATATTTCAAAAGCTCTTTCCTTTTAACTTCAAGTGCTCCAGTATAGCAAGACAGCAACAATTTTCTGCCAACTTCTGCACTCTGCAAGATGGTGATTCTGACATGTTTTGACTGTGTGAGTAAAAACTGATCTCTCATGAAAGTGGAGCAAGCAGCCAAAATCACCTTGTGCCCTTGGAACTCAGTGTCATTAATATAAATTGATACATCACAAAATAAATTTTGCTGTCTCAAGAGATTCATTCTCTGCAAGACCACATCTCCTTGTTGTTCAAACTGGAAGTGTAGAACATCAGACTCCGCAGCCATGGTCACAATCTAAGCAAAACAACAACACAAACATTGATGTAAGGATAGGAAATGTTTTCCCACACTGTGATAATAAACAAAAAAAACACCCCACCCCTCGAACCTGAACTGGGAAAGAGAAGAGCCAAATTCCAATCTGGGTGCTAAGAGTGAACATCATCTTAAAAGCAAGAAAATTATAAAATTATAATGCTTTTTTTCTATGATCTCATAGCATATTTTTCATATTTTTATTGCAGAATTGAATTGTAGTTAACAATTTCAGTGTTCGTAACCTTGGCTAAATTTTATGTGGCTTGTGGCCAAAAACACTCTGTTAATTTTGAGTATCCAGTAACTAGCACAGTAGTCACCACAAAGTATACTTAACATAGTGTCCCAAATTAGAAACCTTAATGTTATGTTCAAACTTCTTTCTCCCCACCAATACACCAGGTCCTCATTTCTGTTCACTTAGACCAGTCTCTTCCAACAGGTCTCCTTGATGCCATACACTTCTATATTCCAAACTACCCTCCTGAGTGCCACCAGAATTAAGTTTTAATTCCTTAAAACATATTTTTAAAAACATTTCTCTCTGCTTTAAATCCTCCATCACTATCCTCTACCTTGAGGACAGCCTAACATACTCAAGAAAGAATACAAGATACATCACGATTTGGCCCTAACCCACCTTTCTGGCTTTATCTCTCTCTATTCTTTTTCTCATACTCGAAGCTCCTTCGATTCTAAATATTTTATCATTGCCCAGTCAAAAAGGCCCGAATATACCTTTGCACGTCTGTTACATCTGCGCCTCCAATGCCTTTTACCAGCTAGTGATTTGCCTCCTTTAAGCCCAAATCAAGTAAGACCAACGTGACGACGACTCCTCGCGTCTCCCCGACAGGTGCTCCCCAAGCACCGTGAGATGGTGCCTGGCTTATCTGTGTTCCTGCCCCAAGCACGAGGGCCCACACAGAGGAGGAGCTCAGGGAACATCTGTTGAACTGAAACCGGATCGCCCACACAGAGGAGGAGCTCAGGGAACATCTGTTGAACTGAAACCGGATCGCAGGTGTCCTGGAAGATCCCTCCAGCTGTGCACGCAGGTCTTGCCTAGCCAAGGCCCTAGAAGCCAACTGGTTGCAGCGCCGGATCAGCCACGCCGGGGCCGCGCCCAGCTGCCCTCCTCCACGTCCCGCAGGTGTCCTGGAAGATCCCTCCAGCTGTGCACGCAGGTCTTGCCTAGCCAAGGCCCTAGCAGCCAACTGGTTGCAGCGCCGGATCAGCCACGCCGGGGCCGCGCCCAGCTGCCCTCCTCCACGTCTTCTTCGCCGGGCCTTCCCACCCGCCGAATCCCCTTCACGCATACTTACCAACTGAGAAAATTAGTCGAGGCTTCCGCTGCAGTCGCGGCCCAGGCCGGAAGTCGGATTTAGCCTGGGAGGAAACACATCCGGTGTCCACCAGCTTTATTCTTTACGGGTTAGAGGGGCCGTCTGGGCGCCCCGGAAGGACATCCTTAGACTCTCTCTCTTTCTCACCTCCCCGGCTCCTGAGATGACAGAAAGGCGCCTGAGTACCAACCGGCAAGCCCGTTTCTCCTGTCCCAGCTTCGTCACGCGAACCGTTACCCTTTGTGGGTCCCCCCGAACGTCCGAATTGGAGACGGGGTGTGAAATTGGATCACGGCACGTCTGTCAGAGTACCCAGTGCCTAGACCCCGGAAAGGCCCTTACGGATTATTATGGGGCGGGCCCTCTCCTTACTGGGTCCATGTACAACTTGAAAGGTGGCAGAGGAAAGGAGAGACTACCATGGGGATCCGTATTCGAGATCGTCTAACTAATGCCCCGTCAGGAACTGGCCCCAGATTCCGGATTGCAGCTTCGTCACTCAATTCGCCCCTACCTTCCCCTCCCCAGCTGTGGGCCCGGCTGTTTCTTCTGACACGCCCTATCCTTTTCCCCACTTATCCTTCTAAAAACCCTTTATAAATCACATCATTCCTGAAGCCATCTTGAACTGCTCCTTAGTTGGTTCTCAGTTGGGAGCCTGTAATCCCTTTGACTGCCTTCATTATTGCACTTATCACACCAATGTTGATAGTTATTTGTGTCCCATCTAGGCGGAGGTATTTTAGGACAGTGACTTACTGATCTTTGCCTTCCCGAAGTCTAGCACTTGGAAGGAATCAAGTTTTTGCCGAATGAAGGGATGTCTGAACCAATTCTTAAAAGCAGTTGCTCTACCCCCTCAATCAACACGTTGTCATGGATGTAACTGACGTGTAACAACTAATACCTGGTTAACCCATATTTTCCTGCTTGACTAATGCGTATTTTAAAGAACAGAACTGAAGACGGCATTCCTGGATTCAAATTCAAGCAATTGAAAAGGAAAGCAGGAGGGGAGACTGAGAAAACAAATCGTTGACACCAGAGCTTTAATTGTCACATTTTTATTAAGGAAACTTCCCCATAATAAGTGAAGAGGTAGTTCATAGTATGTCTAACATACAACAGATTTAGAACAGCTATTCATGAGCTGAAATAAAATGTTCTGGGTTGTTTGTTTAGGACAATGTTTTAGAAGTAGTGACACTGGTCACCTTCCATTTACAGATCTTAAAGAAACAAACAAATTAAAACCACATCTGATTTACCTCAGAACCACTTCAGTTTGGAGTTTGTCTTTAAAATTAAATAATAAATAAATAACTGTGACAGTAATTTTTTAAAAAACCAAAGTATGGCAAAGAGAGTCCTTTCTCCTTTCTAGTTATCCTGGGGATCCATAAAATACAAATGCCAAATGACTAAGGTTTTAAAAATCTTCCTCCTCTACAGGAATACGACTAGTTCTGAAAGTCATCTTCCCCTATAAAACATACTTGATATGAGTAACATGACCTCTCTGCAACATAATCTAAGAAACATGTTTAAACAAAGAAAAAGTCCCACCAAAATTAGAAAGTGTCTTACGGAAACAGAAGACTTCTCTAGCCAAGAAATGGAGGAGACTGCATTTACAGAAGGTGAGAACTAAAAGTTCTACTGATACAAAACCCCAAAGATGCTGATTTTAAGTGATCAAAGGCAGCAAGTTTTTTTTCATTCCTAATATAAAATCAAATTGAGATCTTATCTCACTAAGACCACATGAGGCCATAAGCTCCATGAGGGCAGGGATGGTATCAATCTTACCTTCATATCCTCATTATCTAGCATAGTACCTGGCAACAGTAGGTGTTTAATAAAGGTATCTTGAATGACTGAATGAACCAAGAAATAGTCTCCAACCAAAGAGACAAATCTTATATGAACCCGTGCCTTTTAATCTTCAAACCAGTAACCAAAACAGGACATGAATGTGAGCAAAGGAAGCACTTCAACTTGAAATTTCCCTAAGAAATGATATTCAGAGAAAATACCAAAAACATTGGTTGATGTGGTAGAGTCTCCCCATTGCATAGAATTGGTACTCTTTGGCTGGATCATATAAAAAGCAGAAAGCTAGAAAGCATCATGAGACCATATGATGAGTGACATTAGGCATAAAGTTCTTATGGGTCTTATCACTCAACTGTGTTCTCATTTTAATTATTTGAATAAAAGATAGAAATTATACCTTAAATCTGATCCCATTTAAATGTAGCAAATTATAACAACTTAAGAATTCCCTCCAACTATACAAATTAAGCCTAATTTCTGGATTATCAAAACTCAAACATAAAGACAGAAAATCCTGATGGAAATTAAATAAACACTGTTTTCCAAACAATCAATTTCACATTTGGATCCTTCTCACATTACTCTTACTTGCCCTTTCCCTCCCTAACCAACACCCAACAAATCAGTTACTTGCTTGGGAAGAATGTAATACTCATCTAACTAAAAAATAATTAGCTAACATAAATAAATCCCTCTGTGATATTCTGTTGGCAAAATCCAGGCTGTCTAAAAAAGCCAACAGGGAAACACAAAGGTGAAACAAACTGAGAGCTTTCTGTTAATGCATTATTCTTCATCATGAACTAAATCTTTTAAAGCCAAGGGATAGTGGAAAGAAGTAAGGAGACATTAGTTCATACTTAGTCACTTATATACCTTGGCCCATCTTGGCCAGGCCACTTCTTTGGGCTTTGGATGCCCCAACTTAAAATGAAAAAGGTGGAATAAATGATCTCTTAAGATTCTCTAAGGACTCTAACACTCCTATTACCCAAGTCTAACTCCTGTGTCAGAAACAAATAAGAAGCAAAATTTTATTTCTGAAATATAACATGTGCTTTAGGAAAACCAGTTGTTTTGTATCACCATATAGGAAGATAAGACTTTGTAACAGTGATCTATCAAAGGTGGCAAGGTGGGACAGTGTCTCTTCAAGAGTAATATCTGAATGCAAAAATCTGATTGCCCCTTCTGTGTCCCACTTGACTTTTTTCATCCATTTTAGAAATTAAGGTACATGAGGAAATGAAAATTCAGAGACTCATAGTGCACTGCACAAAACTCTGATGGTCAAACTCACCTTTCTGATGGCTAAACTCTGAAACAAAGTTCAGAGACTCCCCAATAACCTCTTTTTAGAGAAACCATTATACTTTAGCACACTTTAAGTGTGCTTAGAGTAATCCTGATTTCAAAAGCATCAACAAGTTATACATTAATTATAAGCATCTAGCCTCCTGGTGGGACATGCTGTGAGGAAAACCTCCCATGTAAGTGCTGTTGTATAATTGTACTTCTATCCTTTGTTGCTTATGCTCCACAAGGTGATCCCTAACTATGTCTGCAGGTGTTGCTGAAAAGATTGTGGGTTGCTGAAAAGATTGTACTCTCATCTTTGTGAACAATTCAATGAGATGAAGTTGGGCTATGATCCTGTTGAAAAGAGTACAGAACAAACGAACATACTTCTTTATAGCCGGCTCCAAGACAAGTACAAATGGTAGGAAGCAGATTCATTCATTTATCAGGCATGGATGAATTACCAATAGGCAACCAGACATATTGTCGATAGCAATATCACCTTATATGTCAGCCTATTTTCTGCCAAAGAAAATTATTCACTTCTCTTAGCACAGCATCTATTAGTGGAGAGCAGGTAATGTTATTAACTTGTTGGTACCTTCAGAATGTGCCTAGTGAACAAAGCCTAAAATAGTGTCAGTCTAAGACATAAGTCAATGTTAGGTAGACAAATGGAATTATTCCTTGGTAATGGAAAACAGACATCACAGGATAAATAATTCAAAACAGAAAATGCGAGAGGGCAAAAAGAAGGCAATACCACTCCAAGTGGTAAGCTGCCTGGTCTATTAGTGCTTTGATTCACCCCCTACCTCCTGCGCAGAGGCTTTGGAGAAGTCAAACTAGTAAAATCACTCCTAAAAAGACTATTGCCACATTCTCAGTCAGTTCTAGTTGTGAGCATGAAGCCCCTACTCAATTCACGCAAGTACTATCATTCCTTAAGTTCAGGACAGCTTGGGCCAGTTTACCTGCATCCAGGACCTGTGTTGCATCAGGTTGTGGCTGACACCCTTTAGAGTCTGTGACTGCTGTACATGCAAAAGAATCAAAATCCACTGTGAGGTCTTGCACATTTCTCTCATTGGCATTATCAAAGCTGTTTTTGCCATGCAGCTGTTTAAGGTGTTTCCTCAAAACTGGCTTATGTGCAAAAACCATGTCACAATAGTTACATTTATGGGGCTTATCTCCACTGTGAAGGTTAAGATGATCCTGTAAGGAACACTTCTGAGAAAAGGTTTTCCCACAGATTTTACACTGGAAAGGTTTAATTCCGGCATGCACACGCATGTGTCGATGAAGGTTGCCTTTCTGAGTAAAAGTCTTGCCGCAGAGTAGACACATAAAGAGTTTGTGCATTTTTAAATGGTTGGCGTAGTTCTCCAGGTGACGAAACACCCTGGTACACTTTGGGCATTGGTGATGCCACTGTAGGCCTTTGTCTACACCTCGAATATTAGGCCCAAAGACATCTTTTGAGGCCATGATGATGTTATCACTGCCTGTATAAGAGAGGGCATAATTGTGGAGATGGTTTTGTTCTATTTCACTTACTCTGTTTTCCACAGTTGAATTTATCAGGGAGTGCTGGGGTTCTGATGAGTGTAAAGCAGTGGGTTCAGAAGAAATAAACTGGTTCTGATCTTTTTTACTTCTAACCTCTGATACATCCCCAATAGATTCTACCTTAACAATCTGAATATCACTGTCCTCCATATCCATACTGTCTTCAGATGGATGAATACAAGGTGAGTCCTGCTTTGGGGAGCCTCTGGCATCGCCCTGCTGTTCTTTTGACTGGGGAGAAGCACTCTGTGGTTCACATCCCTCTTTACTATCCATTGGTTGTTTTGGCTTTATAAACTTCCACAGGGCCTGCGTGCACCGTTCTACAATGTGGCTCATCTGAAGAAAACTCGCAGCAGTCAAGTAATTTACCAGTTCCATCTCAGGGAATTCCAGCACACCACTATAACAGGATAAGAGCAATTGTCTCCCCACTTCGGAACTCTGTAATATGGAGATTTTCACCTCTCTGGAATCATTCAGTAAAAACTGGTCTCTTAAGAAGGGGGAACCTGCAGCAAACACAATTTTATGCCCCTGTACCTCAATATCATCTATGAGAACTGTAACATCACAAAATTTATTCTCTTCTCTTAATTTGTTCATTTTTTGTAACATTGAATCTCCATAATTTTCAAACTTGAAGTGAAGGAGATCTGATCTTTCAGACATTTTGGCAGACCTAAAGAACAGAAATGTAAAAAGGTTGAATTTAAGGAAATTCAAACAATTAAGAAACCTGGATATACCTTCCAAAAACAAATTTGTGTCGTCATATCTGTTTCTTATGTATCCAAATGAAATTTTCCTTGAAAGAGGAAGCTACTATAACAGCATTCAAAGGCTGTTAAAAATTACTCCTTACCAAACCAAGTGTCAATTGCACCTGAAGAGTGGACTTGTATCAGTGTAAATAGCCTGGCATTCATTCAACTTTTCAAGATACTTAAAACAAGAACAGTGCTTGAGTTAGTCCAAGAGTGTTTTCTCACTTCTCAAATGAGAATTCTATCATGTTTCAAAAACAAACTAAAACATCCCAACACAATGAAAGATGATGTACTTTCTTTTGCTTGAAACTGGGAACCTACTCATACAAGATGAAAGACACAGATCTAAAGGGACAATGTTTGGACAGTGTCAAAGGCACAGTTCTTCATCCACGACCTAAGCTCTCTTTTAAGGAACATTTCTTGATACAGAAAATAAAATACTTAATATAGAAAAACCAGATGAACTATTAGGTGGATCTAGTCAATCCCTACTAAATTGTCCTTTCCTCTTTATCCCTATTTATCCATCATTATTCATCATGTGGACTACTAGAACTGATTCATAAATGTTTCCTTGGCTTCCAGCTTTTACTCTCTCCAATCCAACTAGTATACTACCTGCTGTTTTTCAAAAACACAGACCTGGGGGCTGACTCATGGCTCACTTTGAGAGCGTGGTGCTGACAACACCAAGTCAAGGGTCAAGATCCCCTTACCGGTCATCTTTTAAAAACAAAAAAAACCAAAACAGATCTGATTATACCCTACCCCTGCCTTCGGTGACTTCCAATTGTTTCCTGGATGAAGACTAACCTCTTGAGTATAAACTGATTAACTAAACCTAATAATAATTAAGGTAAACATTGGCATAACCCACTCCACCACAGAGAAAAGTCTTTCCCAAAACTCTGCATATTGGTCCCTTTATATAGAACTTCCTTTGGAGAAAGTCTATGTTCTGATTCCATACTCTGTAAATGATTTTCTCATATCTTGGCTTCCCATTTGTCTCTCTAAAGTGGAAATATGAATTAGTTGTGCCAACATGATAATTCCAGCCCACTAGTCATTGTAAAAGTAACAAATTGGTATTCTTCTGTTTATATACCGGTCTTCTACGACATCAGTAGGCATATCAGGTCTATCTTTGAGATACAGCTCTACAATCTCAGTGAATCAAGAAATTCATCTTGGATTTTGTGCATTCATTAACCCCTCCATTCAGAGTCAGATGAGACAACCAGCTTCTGGCCACATCTGGACCCTGAAACCCAATCTTTATAATCTTAACTTCTGTAACACTGACTTACAAAGGCTCACAGAATATCAGCTCCTGATGGCAGAGTCTAGGTTCTTTCTTATTCCTCAGTGCCCAGTATATAACAGTACTCACTCCAGACCTTATCATGCTCATTTCCTTAGTCTAGAACACTATCTCTTAGCTAATTCTGACTCCTTTATTTCCTCTAAAAGCCCCTCCCTTGACCCCTTAAAAGAGCTGTCTGTACTGGGCCCATAGTATAGGGCATTTCCATCACAACCGTCAAAACACTTCATTAAATATTTATTCCTCTTCAAATTGCAAGCTTCATAGCAGTGGACGGAAACTTCTTCATCCTATTAAAAGGGGCCAATGCTGGGAACCTGAATCTTCTGGGGAAAAATATTCTTTCCTTTACCTCTGAATTCTACCTATTGCAGCCACATTGCTTGTCTCATTACTGGCCAAACCCTCTTTTGTGCAAACTGGTGTATATTCCCATCCCTTAATGTACTACACATAGAGCAGGTGCTAAGTTTGTATTAGCTGAACCTATAGGATTCATCTGACAGTGGTAAGAAGGAAGAATTATTGTTAGGAAGACCAGCTTAGTGCCTGCAGAAGCATTACAGATCTGAGGCCATGAGGGCATAGAAAGGAATGAAAATTGGATAAGGAGCAAGGTAAAATAACAGATATTTCAAAGAACTTGGTAACTGATTGGATATAGAGAATGAAAAAAAGGAACATGCAAAGATTATAAACTTAGGAGTTCAACTGAATGAGAATGTCATTGAAGGGTGAAATTTAGGAGAGTGAACTGGTGTGACAAAGGTATATTAACAGAAATATACACAAAGTATACGTTCTGAATGTAAAGATAATGAATATTCACAATAAAGATAAAAACTTCATTGAGAGAGGAGGGATGTATAGAAACAAATGTAGTATCAGAGAAATGATAGTGTGTCTCAAATACAAAGGAAAAATCTGAAAGATACAGGGAATATGTCAGTAATTTTAAGCAGCAAAACTATATTATCTTTGGTTGGTTTCAGGAATTGCAGTAGCCTAAAATATTCATTCTGGAATGGGAATGGTGAATGTTCCAATTGATAAGCAGAAGTTACAAAGATGACTGTTGATTCAAGTGGCCAAACAAAAGCAGCATTCATTTTTAGAGTTTAGTGGTCTGGATTACATTAAAGCTGACCATGATACTCTTCTGTAAGTACTTTCCTGCTCACGCCAAAAAATGAGCATTAATCGCTTCCACCTATATTATGAAAGTATTCACAATCCTTTAGACAACTATCCTCAGGGACAATTCTTCCTTCATGCTCTAAAAGATGAGGAGCTGGAGTATGGTTTCATTTACTTCCTATCTATCAGTTCTCAATGAACTTAACAACAGGAGCAGCCAAACAGTTATCTCAGGAAAGTGCTTGCTTTGATCTGTTTGTTATGGTCCAAGAATACGATGAAAATTTATACTGTTTATTTCAGGAAGTTTTCCCTAATACGTGTCAGCCCACTCTATTATCTCCCCTTTTTAAACTCTTATTTCCAGGCCACAATTTATCCCTTAATTGTTTCCTGTCACTAGTTTCTCTTTCCAATAGATTGTTAGTTATTTGAGAGCAAGGATCGTTTGTGACATTTTATACAGCTCACTCAACAAAAACCAGCAGAATAATGAATTCTTAATGTTTCCTGTGAAATTATTACTGAGCTATGGTAAAGATGCTCTTCATGATTTCCTCTTTTGATTACCCGGGGGGGTGGGGAGGGGATTTCTTTCTTGGTTTTGTTTCCAAAATAGTTTTGACAAAACCAAATTTTAAACAAACACTTTTTTGGGGGGATGGCTGGCCAGTACTGGGATCCGAACCTTCGGCCTTGGTGTTACACCACTGTGCTCAATTTTTTTTTTCTACTTTTTAAAAAATAGTTAAAAGGAATAACTGTGTTTCTTATGAACTGGCTTAACTTTATTTAAAAATAAGAGAAATGACACCTAATCTTTGCCGAGTCCTTGCTACATTCCAGATACAGTCCTAAATGCTTTACCTAAATTGACTCATTTAATCCTGAAAATCTCTACAGGTAGGTATTATAATTATCCCCACTTTGCATATGAGGAAACTGAAACTCAAACTTCGAGAACATAAATAACTTGCCAAACTTAATAATGGTGGAAAGTATTAAGTGTTAGAGCTGGAAATTGTGCCTAACCTGTGCGATGCCAAAATTTATGTGTGAAACAACTAGAACAGGTACAGTTTTATCTTAAGGATATTATTATGTAATTGTTAAGATTTCCTTCTTCATATTGCGCATCGCAAATGTAGGCTAAGAAAATTGAGCTGTACACTTATGATTTGTACACTTTTTTGTATTTCAGTTATGCTTCAGTAAAAGGTTTAAACGAAAAATACAACTTAAAGCCAAGTTTGTGTTAAGTATAGAGGACTTCAAAGGTAAGCCATTCATGTATGATGGGTCTTCATGCAAAGATTAGTATTCATTTTCAATTCCATTTTCCACTAACTTTTTGAAGTACCCTCATATTAGTCATACTCCTGATTGCATTTTATGCCCATATCCTTATACCTAGCTTTCTCATCTTTTTTAACTGTTATTTTTCCATCTTTTGTGTATTTATCTTTGTAGACTGAATTTTAATGCCACTTGCAAATAAAATAGAGAACAAAAATTATGAATATATTTGATTTCAGAATCCCCAACTCTAGATAACTTCTTAGTAGCAATTATTCATAATATTCACAAAAACCACTCACATAATACTAGATTATGGCAGAGCTTCTCATAACTGAAAGAAAGCAAAGAAATTATCAGGTAGAACAGAGACTTGTTCACCACATTCTGTTCTTTCCTCAGGACAATTCCCAGATTCTCTCTGTTCTTACTGTCGTTGCCATGGTTCAGGCCCTTATCATCTATTGCCTGGGTTACTGAGATTAAATCTCCATACTGCCGAGTTTCAAGTTTGTATAACCATTTCTCAAACATCAATGTAGTAGGCATATTCTCACTTAATCTCATTTTCTCTTTGCTTATATTTACACAATTCTTCCATAATTATTTTATAACAACTGATTTGAAATTTTCCCTTTGTTCAAACAGGAGTAACTGAAAACAGGACTGACTGGTGAATATTCTAGATTGGACAATGTTCATTGCTATACTATGGGAAGTCAAAAAATACCCAAGTTTCTTCAAATGCCTCTAATAACTACTGATAAGCAAAAGTTTTCTATAGTATAATAACTCCTAATCTGTATGTCAGTCTGCTTTCTCACCTACCTCATAGAAGCACTCTTAACCTTTCAACTTAGCACTCACAACTACTTGGAAATCTTTGTCCTTCCTTAATATCAGATGACATTTTTTCAAAGAGTTTGTATTATCTACAGCCTTTCTCTCTTTACACCTCAATCCTTTTCTTCTTTTGGGTCACTTTCATGACACTATAGCCTCCAAATTCTCACCCTTTTGTGTTGTTTTGACTTTTAATTATAAGTAATACATACAGAAATATATCCTTCCTAAGAATTTTTTTTAAACATTGTAGATAAAATTCCCTTTCCCAACTGCCTACTACTCAGTACTCAGTTTGAGTTTGGTCTTTCTGCATTCTCCCTACCCCCATTTTGAAAACAACACTTCTACCTGCCTAGCCACAGAAAATATAAAGTAAACTTATGTTTCTTGTACACAAACTATACATATTGTTTCACAACTTTTTTCACTTACTGTTTTTGAGAGCTGTTTATGTTGATAAGCATAGATCTAGTTCATCATTTTTTAACTTGTACAGAAGTGGGCAAGTTACCTAAACACTGATTTCAGTTTTCCACCACTGTTTTGCTGGTCTGTTCCTCAAGGCCTCACTGAATTGTACGAAGGTAAGAATATGCATGGCTAATCTTAACCAAACTTAACTTCAATTTGAGCTACCTAAAAACACCTTCTCTATGCTGCTTCTCTACCAGTCGAAATGATACTTAAATTCTTATACTGAATTAAAACTCAGTTAGTCAAAAATAAAATTTATGGAGAATGGCTTGGAGAACAGTGAATGTGGAGATAAGGAACCTTTTAGTATGCTATTACTCTAACAGATCAAGACAGAAATGATGGGGCTGGCTAGTTATCTCAGTTGGTTAGAGGGTGGTGCTGATAACACCACAGTCCAGAGTTCAGCCAGTCACCAAAAAACAGCAACAAAAACCCCCAAACAAACGAACAAGCAATAAGACAGAAATGATGAGGGTCTGAACAGAGACAATGATAATATGGATGGATAGAGGAAACAGATTTGGGAGACATTTCAAAGAACAGATGGAAATGGTGACCAAGGTGGGGAACAAGATAGGTAGGGTCAAGATGACTCCAAGATATTTGGTTTCAGTGACGGATATCTTTGACTGACTGTCATTCAATAAGCTAGGGAATACTGGAGGGGATGATCATGAATCTACCCTTAAAAATGTTGAGCCGGAGAAGCCTTCATGACATCAAGGTGAAAATCGATTTGCTGTTAGATATGGACCCAAAGCTGAGAAGGAGACCTGATTATAAATGGCAAGTGCTAAATGAAAGCATGAGAGTGGAAGAAGTTAATCTAAATTGGCAGAGCGGAAGAGGACCTATGATAGGAAGAAAGAAATAAAAAAACTAATATATAACTATATAATACAAACATAAATCCATTACTTACCTTCTTCTCAACCTGGGTCTCCTTCCAAGCCTCTCCATTTTTATCAATGAGCCTATCTTTGCTTAAATCTTTCCTACTCCTTTGACTCCTGTACTCAATCACCAAATAGTGCCGTGGGTAAAACCATGGACTCTGGAGCTGTATTTCCTAGTATCAAAACCCTGCTCAACCGCTTACTAATTGTGTGACCTGGGACAAGTTACTTAACCACTCTTCTTCAGTGTTCCCATCTATCAATAGTAACTACTTTATAGGGTTGTTTTGGAAAACAAAATGAGTTAAGTTTTTAAAAGAGCTTAGAATAGTGCCTGTTATGTGTTCTGTAAGCATGTGTTAGGTAAATAAATAAATAAAGCCTGTCAATTTTCTTTGTGAAATCCTTCATGTGTGTCATCTTCTCATTTCCACTCAACACCAAACCAGCTGAGGTCCCCAATATTTCATAAGCCACCAACCCATCACTCTACTAAAATTGCTTTATAAAAGGTCAATGATGACCTCTTAATAAAGAAATGCAATCTTTTTTTTCTTTCTTATCCCCCAAATGCTCTTCATAAATTTATCCAGTGGCCTCTCTTCAAAATTTTTTTCTCTTGATTTTTGGGTTTTCCTGGCTGCTGGAACCCTGCATTCTTACACTTCCTACCTCTGTTTCTGCTACTATACTAACCACCATTAGCTCCAATTCCTCTTTCTGCTTCATAAATACAACCATTACCCCCCAAATTTCCTTCTTTCTCAATACTCCCTTTCTCATGCCGGCTATTCCCATGGCTTCCACTTCTAGACTGATAACTCAGACCTCTACCTCTAAGCCACAACGTTTAGGCTGAACTCCAGAGTTACACTTGTAACTCTATTCTGGACAGCTTTATGTGGCTATCCCATTAGACTTTTAATTCAACAAGTTCTGAAAATGAATATGTAATCTACACTACTTATGGTTTTATTTCTGATAATGGCATCACTATACTTAAAATGCCTAAGACCTAAAACTTAGGAATTGGATTTGGTACCTCTCTCTCTCTCAACATACAATTAGTTATGGAATCTTGACATCATCACCTCCAGCACATATTTGCCTCCTTTCCAAAAACACTGTCATAACTGTATTTCAGGACTTCATTGCTTCTCACTAGGCTGACCCCATCACTCCTTCAAAAGAATCTCCAATCTTTAGCCTTTAGCTAAAGAGTCTAGATTCAGTTAATAGAAATTCCTTTTCTATAGGCTTTCTACAGAAAAAAAAATGACTTCCTGCAGTGCAAATCTGACCCTATCAGTCTCCTGCTCAAAACTCTTCAAAAAACTACCCATCTCCTTTAGGATTAAACCTTTCTCTGTCTGGATCTCAGCCTATTTTCCCAGCCTCATATCCTATCCCAAGCACAGGAGCCCTCCCATTTCCTCCTCTTCCCACACGAGTTAGGCTCTGTCACTCCTCCACAGCATTGCAACTGTCCCTTCAGCCTGAAAAACTCTTCCACACCTTATCCTCGCCAAGTAGTATAATTCAGATGTCATTTTCTTTTTAAAGCCTTCTCAGCAATGCCCCTTCAGCAGTTCATACATATATGACATATATATGTACATACATATATATTTATATATCAAGAGCACTTGCTTGTTTCTATCTGGCTCCCAAACTTGACCTTGAAATCTGGAACGATATCTTATAAATCTCCAGTGCCTGGCACAGTCCAAGTAACATGAGAGGTGCTATGGCCAGTGGCTGAATTGGGGGAAACCACAGCAAAAGGGTAATCTAACATTCATGACCTAGCATTCATAGTGATTCTTGTGGGCTGGCACTGAGGGCCTTGCCTTCGGCTGGCTCCCGAAGTTCGTTTTCTCAGGGCCTCAGCTCTGGCACTTCCTAAAAGATGCCAGCGTCCGGCGTCCAAGCCAACTGCTGGGCCCTCGGCTGGGGTCCCAGGAGGTGGTCCCTTGGGCATCCTCGGGCTCCCCATTGCAGACGCCGGGAAGTGAAAGGGGCGGGGCGCAGCGTGGGCCGGGCCAAGGGCTCCTTAAGTCCCCCGGGGCCTAGGCCAGCCTCTCGGCACCCATCCCAGTGCAGGTCCCGGCCGATCCAGGGCCCCAAGGGGGCTCCATTTTAAGAGACCCCGCACCCCAGCCCGGCGCTCCGGCCGCCTCCGCACTTACAGACCCGGGGTAAGGCCGACGTCAGGATCCGGCACCGCCAGGAGCTCTGGCCCCTCGGGGCTCCGGAAAGGGGGAGGGGCAGGGAACCCGAGCCAAAAGGGGACCCAACGGAACCGGAAGGGCAGCCCTGGCTGGACAAAGACAACTTCCAGGTCCCATGATGTTCTCCGCCAATCGGAAGGCTCAGAGGAAGACGGGCCCCGAGAGGGACTCTCCACGCTGTGGGCGGGGCGCGGACGGAGTGCTGGGGTCCCTGGATGCTAGTGTCTCAGCCAGTTACGCCCAAGTACTGTGGCTCCTTAGTGCCGGCGGCTCAGGCCCTGTGCGCTTCGCGGTGACCTGCTGCTCCAGACCCCCTTCTCAGCGGCCCTTCTCGAGCTGGGCCTAATCCATCGGCTTCCTGCATGAGCCTGAAGGGCGCCTCCGCGATTAAGCCTCGGTAAGTCCCTCCCGTCTAGGGGTGTGGACTCGCCGCGCGGGAGCCTGAAAAGCAGAAAGCGGTTTACTCCACTCACTTTTGGATGTTAGTATTTCTCGGGGATCTTGCTTCGGGATTCTTCCTCCTCCCTCCGCATTCCTAGCGCGGTCTCTTGCATTCCTGTTGTTTCTTTTACCTGTCAGCTGCTGACCATTCACAGGTCTCTCTTGCGAACCCAGACACCTCTCCTGAGCTCCAGAGCCAACTGCCTAGAAGAGATCTTCAGTTGTTTGTTCCAGTGTTAAGTTCTCCAGACCCGCTTCTGCTCATCTCCTAGAGTCCTTGTGTTGATGAACAACATCATCCACGCATTCCCCCCGCCACAAAAATTTGAGTATCATTCTAGAGCCCTTTTCCTTACTAATCCAGTTGTTTAGCAGGTTCTCCCCATTCCTTTTCTTTGGGTGGAGGTTTTTATTGTAGTAAAACATGATTACTATTTTAACAATTTGTAAGTGTGAAGTTCAGTGGCTTTAAGCGCATTCAAAATGTGTAGCCGTCACCACTTGCTATACCCAACTTCACTCTTTTGCGTGTGGATATCCAGTCTTCCCAGCATCATTTGTTGAAAAGACTGTCCTTTCCCCATTGAATGGTCTTGGCACCCTTGTTGAGAATCAGCTGACCCGACAGGAGGGTATTTCAAAAAATTCATTGGAAAGATTCACATTGTTTCTTCATTCTGTTTCTCCATGAACTTTTTGAAGTACCTTGTAAATGGGGGATTATTTCTGGGTTCTCTGTCCCAGTATATTGGTCTACATGTTTGTCCTTATGCTAATACCAAACTTTTAATTACTGAAGCTTTGTAGTGAGTTTCAGAGTTTCAAACTGCGAGTTCTCCAACTTTATTCTTCTTTTTTAAGATTATTTTGGCTATTTGGAACATTTTGCAATTCTGCATGAATTTAAGGAATGGCTTTTCCACTTCGTCACAAAGGCTTTTGTAACAGGGATTGTGTTCTATGTGTAGGTCGCTTTGGGTAGTATTGACATCTTAAGAATTTTAAGTCATCCTGTCTATGAACACAGAATGCCTTTCCATTTATTTAGGTCTTCATTAATTTCTTTCGGCAGTATTTTCCAGTCGTCAGCATATTTAATTAATTTAGATGTTATTTTAAACGGAATTGTTTCCTCAATTTCCTTTTCATATGGTTCATTGCTGGTGTATAGAAACAGCTGGTTTTTGTGTGTTGGTCTTGTTCCCTGCAACTTTGGTGAATTCGTTTATTTGCTCTAGTATCTCTCCTGTGGATTCTTCGGGATTTTCTATATAGAGAATCGCTTTCCTTCTTTTTAAATTTGGATGCTTTTTATTTCTTTTTCTTGTCTAATATCTCTACGTAAAACTTCTAGTATAACTTTGTGAAAGTGGGTATCATGTCTTATTCCTGATGTTAGGGGGAAAGCTTTTGATCTTAAACCATTAAGTGTGATGTTGGCTGTGGATTTTTTTATAAGTACCTTTATCATGTTGAGGAATTTTCCTTATTTTCTAGTTTTTTTGAGAGATTTTATATGAAAGGGAGTTGGAGTCTGTCAGATGCCTTTCCTGCATCAATTGAGATCATCGTGTGTTTTTCCCCTTTCGCTCTATTAATGTGATGTATTACGTTTGTTGATTTTATGTTGAACTACCTTGCATTCTTAGGATGAATCCAGCTTGGTCATGGTGAATAATTAGCTTAATATGTTGTTGGATTTAATTTGTTTATATTTTGTTGAGGATTTTTGCATCTATATTCATAAGGGATATTGGTCTGTAATTTACTTGTGTTTATCTGGCTTTGGAATCAGGGTAATGCTGACCTCATCGAATGCATTAGGGAGTATCCCCTCCTGTTCAATTTTTTGCAAAATTTTGAGAGGGTTTGTTGTTAAGCCTTCTTTGAAAGTTTAATAGGAGGCGGCTCTCATGGAGGCAGCTAGCACAAGGCTGGGGAGCGCTGAGCCATGCTTCCTGCCCTGTGCTGCCCAGACTAGCAAACAATACAGTCAAGATAGCTAAAAGTGACCCTAAGAAACCAAAGGATGAGATGTCTGTTTATACCTTCCTTGTGCAGACATGCAGAGAAGAACATAAGAAGAAAAACTCAGAGGTCCCTGTCAATTTTGTGGAATTTTCTAAGAAGTGATCTGAGAGATGGAAGACAATGTCTGGGAAAGTGAAGTCTAAGTTTGATGAAATGGCAAAGGCAGATAAAGTACAGTATGATCGGGAAATGAGGGATTATGGACCAGCTAAGGGAAGCAAGAGGAAGGAGGACCCTGATGCCCCCAGAAGGCCACCATCTGGGTTTTTCCTGTTCTATTCTGAATTCTACCCCAAGATCAAATCCACAAACGCTGGAGTTTCTCTTGGAGATGTGACCAAAAAGCTGGGTGAGATGTGGAGTAACTGAAGTTTGACAGTGAAAAACAGCCCTATATCACCAAGGCTGTGAAGCTGAAGGAGAAGTACAAGAAGGATGTTGCAGATTTATAGTCTAAAGGAAAGTTTGACGGCATAAAGGATCCCACTAAAGTTGCCAGGAAAAAGATGGAAGAGGAAGAGGAAGATGAGGATGAAGAAGGGGAAGAGGAGGAGGAGGAGGAGGAATAAACAGCTGTTTATCTGTTAATTTTTTTTTTTTTTAAGTTTAATAGATTCCACTGGTGAAGCCATCTGGTACAGGACTTTTCTTTGTTAGGAGGCTTTGATTAGTGATTTAATCTCTTTATTTGTTATAGGATAGTTGAGATTTTCTGTTTCTTCTTGAGTATATTTAGATAATTTGTGTTTTTCAAGGAATTTCTTCATTTTTTTCTACATTTCCTGATTTGTTGGCATATAATTGTTCATAGTGGTCTCTTACAATCCTTTTTATTTCTGTAATGTCAATAGTAAGTAATGTCCTCACTCTTATTTCTGGTTTTAGTTATTTTCGTGTTTTCTCATTTTTTTTCTTCATCAGTCTAACTAAAGCTTTGTCAATTTTTTCATCCTTTCAAAACACCAACTTTTGCTTTCATTGATTTTTCTCTGTTGCTTTTCTATTCTCTATTTTGTCTTTCTCCAATCTGTATTATTTTCTTTTCTTCTGTTAGCTTTGGATTTAATATGCCCTTCTTTTTCTAGTTCCTTAAGGTGTAAAATGAGGTTATTGATTTGAGATCTTTATTCTTTTTTAATGTAGTTATATACAACTGTAAATTTCACTCTGATCCCTGCTTTCAGTGCAGCCCACAAGTTTTGGTATGTTTTGTTATTTTCCTTATTTCTAAGTAGCATTTTCTAATTTCCCTTTTGCTTTCTTCTTTGACCCATTGGTTGTTTAGGAATGTGTTGTTTAAACCTAAGGATACTAGAGATGAGGAGGAGGGGGTTTGGGAAGTGATAGGTTGGGTAAAGGGCATAAAGAAATATCACGGGGCCGNAAAAAAAAAAAGAAATATCACGACTTGTAAGAATGAATATGCTAATAATAAACAAATTAAATTTAAAAAAGAGTGTGTTTAATTTACATATATTTGTGAATTTTCCAGTTTTTTGTTTGTTTGGTTTTGTTTTCTGTTATTGATTTCTAAGTTCATCCTGTTATGGTCGGAGAAGATACTTTGTATGATATCTGTCCTGTAAAATCTGTTGAGATTTGTTTTGTGACCTAATATGGTTTATCCTGATGAATGTCTCATGTGCACTTCAGAAGAATGTGTATTCAGCCATTTTGGGGTAGAATGTTTTGTAAATGTTTGTTGGGTCTGGTTGGTTTATTGTGATGTTCAGTTCCTCTATTTCCTTACTTATCTTTTGTTTTTATTTTGTTATTTTTTTGTTTGTTTTTATTTTTTTTCTTTTTCTTACTTTTATTTGATTATTCTACCCTTTACTGAAAATAGGGTGTTGTAGTCTCCAACTATCATTGTAGAACTGTTTTTTCCCTCCTTTTAATTCTGTCCATTTTTGCTTCATATATTTTGAGAGTCTGTTACTAGGTGTGTAAATGTTTATAACTTTTATATAATTATTTATTGAACATTTTGTTAATAATAATATCTTTCTTTGTCTCTTGTAACATTTTTAAGATTTAAAGTCTATTTTGCCTAATCTTAATATAACCACTCCAGCTGTCTTTTGGTTACTATTTGCATGGACTATCTCTTCCATCCTTTCACTTTCAACTTGTTTGTTTCTTAGGATCTAAAGTTGAGTCTACTGTAGACAGCATATTGTTGGATCATATTTTTTTTATTTAATCCATCTGCCCATCTCTGTCTTTTGATTTGAGAGTTTAAGCCTTTTACATTTAAAATAATTATTGATGAGGGACATATCTTTTTGCTATTTGTGTTCTGTATGTCACATAGCTTTGAAAAATCTTTATTTCCTCCATTATTGCCTTCTTTTATGTTTAATTGATTTTTTTATCATGAAGTGTTTGATTCCCTTCTCACTTCCTTTTGTGTATAGTCTTTAGATATTTTCTTTGTGGTTACCATGGGAATTACATTTAACATCCGGAAATTATAAAAATCTAATTTGAATTGATACCAACTTTAACTTCAGTTGCATACAAAAACTCTGCTCCTATATAGCT